ACTTGTTATAAAATATCAGTGAAATTATTTAAATGTTAAAATTAAACATGTTCTTATAACAAATAATAATTAAATTATAATACGAAGCCCTCCAAAAAAAAAAGGGATATACATTTTATCCTATAGTATTAGAACCCACATTTCTGGATAACAAACAAAATATTTTATAAATTCGTTCATAGGATTGAAATATTCGATCTAATATCAAGCTTCTGCTATTTTTTTCTGTTCTACTTGTTTTAAATGAATACATTAGAATGTATACTTTATGAGTTATTTAAAGTATAAATTTCTATATTCTTAAATTAATATCTTTATTTAAGAATTTAAATTAAGGTTTATGTAGAAACAAATATAAAATGATTTTTATTTTGTTTTAGGATAAGCGAGTATTGAATTGAAAACAATTTAAACTTTAATTTCTTTGAAAAATTAAAGTTCTTTATTTGTATTAGACTTATACAGTTGTAAATAACCTTACGATTTAACAGCAGAAATAAAGTTTATCAAATATATTTTATAATTAGGCCTATATAAAATTAAAACATAGTTTAATCTAACTTTAAATCAAGTTTTCACTATCAGACCTGCATTATTATATCGTTGACAAATCCTAATTCTGCCTTCAGGCCTACTTAAATTGTCAGCTTTACATGAATATTAAAGTATGAAACTAATTTAAATACTTGCAAATATATGATAATTATCTAACTGTATATTCATGAATAATATTAATATAAAAATAAAAATTTAGTAGTCGATATAAATGATGTTATAATAAAAACAAGTCGAAAATAGAAGTAAACTGAATTTTAAACATTCTGTAAGTAGATAAGAACATTTACAGAAAATAAAATGTAAAATATCTTATAAATTTAAGTAATTTAGTTTCAATTTTTATAAAATATAAATATTAATTTTAAATCAGATTATCATGGAAGATTCAAATCTAATGCAGTTTAGAGTTTTCCAAGATTAACTTATGATTTTTGTGAACAGCTCAAAATATAGTCTTAATTTTCCAAATTTTATTTTCTATAATTGGCCCATCGAGTGTTGCGCGATCCGACGATACATTGAATTTACCATTGAAAAAATCATGCTGTAGCCTTACAAAACTTAAAATTAGATTTAGTTTTAGGTAAAAAAAATTATTAAAGTTACATTACTAGATAAAATAATTAAAATACGTATTTTAAAATTCGTTCGAGAAAAATAATCGAGAGGGAAAAGTTATGAGTTGACTGAACTCATACAAAACATTTATTAAACTAAGAAAAAAATGACATTTCAAATGCACGAATTGCTTCATTAAATTATAAAGTTAATTATAATTTCTTAGATTTTTCATAATTCTCGTGGTAAAGATTTTTAAATTATTTCGTAAATAACTGTATAGTTTTAGTGGTATAGATTTTTTTTCATTCAAAACTTTATAGTAACTTATTTTGGAATCCTAAAATATTTTCAACAAGTTTCACAATCTTAAAATGCATGAACATGTACATAGAAACAATATTTATTAAGTTATATAGGTTAATAGATAATGAACGTATGTAAACTTATATCCAATTTTAAACTATATACAATAACTATCAAGATTGAATTATATTATTTCTAGTTAAATATATCTAAGAAAATATTTTTAAATTCTCGATTTAAAACGAAAGTTCTCTCTAAGATATTTCAATTATTTTTGGAAATATTCTTCCTTCATTATTTTACAATATTTTCAATATGGACAGTTCTACCTGTAATATCTTTAGTAACTTATATTATGCCCAATGTAAAATACTGCATTATGTTATAAGAAACATTTTTGTATAATTTATACTTATTTATTCACGCTTTAAATATAGGCCTAAGTTTACAGTATTTTTCCATGCTCGCAAGTCAGTAAGAAAATTATTGAAAATATTTAATATTAAAGGCTTAAAAAGAGTTTCAAATTGATTGTAAGAAGTTAAAAATCTGTAAAATAGAGTTAAATTTATTAGAAAACTAAATAAGGTTTTTTTATTAGAAGAACCTGCACATCTCGTTAATCTTAAAATGACAAGTAAATCATTTGCAATGTAAAAACTTAAAATTATAAAACCTAAAAAAGAAATCACTAAAATTAACGAAATAATTCATTTTAAATAAAATTTTACTTCGTTTTAATGCATTTGATAAGAATGATTTAAATGATTCTAATGTGTTAAATTTAAAAACATTTATTACTTATATCGAATATTAAGATAGGAGAATAATTATACTTTATAAAATATTTATTTATTGTACTAATTAGCGTGTTAATTTATTCGATTGATTATTTTTTTTAAAATTTAAAAAAACGACAAAATTGTCCTGAACATCTTTAACTTGAAGCAAGATTTTTATTCTTGTAAGTCCTCCATTCGAATTTAATGTTAAGATTAAAAATCTCAGAAAATAAATGTTTAATAAAAGAAAATTTGCAAGGATACTTCCATTTTTTTATTTTTTCAAATATCATATAGAATGTGATACTATTTGCCATTAACAATATACATTTTAATATTATAATCAACTACATATTTTCTTTTACTAAAAATCACACGAGTGCATTAGCTTGTTATATAAACAAATTTAAATATTTATTCTTAAAATGCTAAATTCGTAGCTCAAAATTATTACTTTTAAGTTGATTGAATCTTGCAGATTACTGTCCGAGAATACGGGTTTATTAAAGAACAAAACTTACAACATTGTTTGGATGAATAATTCACATATTATCACATGGATTAATTAACGCGAAACACTAGCATATTTTAGTCTATATGGCCAGCCATAATTATATGTGGTTAAAAGTTTTCCAGTAATGATGGCTTCATCCGTATTGCTTGCAATGATATATAATGGGAGTCCTGAACGAATTCAAATTCAGATTTTCATAATAGAAGATAACTAATACTTTACAGCACAGTATATGATTCAAACTGTATTATTTATGGCTTTAAATTAGCACTAATATANATCTTATTAAACTATTCTAGAAATTTTTTATATAATTATTAAACTAAAGTTTATAATTAACAATAATTCTAAAAGAAATGCGAATAAGTTTTCAATGAAAGTAGACCGTATTTTGTATTTAATATAATACAAAATATGATCTACTTTTTAAACAAGAATAGACTCGTGAAAATTGAAAGTATTTAAGATTAACATAATATTTGATTTTAAAAAAAATAGCCTACTTAGGAACTTTATTATCATTAAAATATGTCGGTGAAGTTACTTAGGCCATTTATGAAGGCTAAAATTTAATTTTACTGTACTTTCAATGTTCCAAAATGGGGACAACATTGAACAGATTCAGTTGAAATTTTTTACTTTACTTCGAGACTTTTTCAATAATTAGATATTTTACGCAAATTATTTACCTTTAATTAAAACAAATATTAATTTAAAAAAGTTTAATATAGTTTTTCCAATGACCAAATTTATTAATATAACCTTGAACCTGATACATTAATTTTTTCATTATTATACAAACAGATATTATAATGACACACCGATTACTCATATAGAAAGTAAGTATAACCTATGACTGAGTTTCGAACACGGATCTTAACACGGATTTGTTTTCTTTCTTTTCATAGATTTTAATGCCTGTTAATTATTAATTTGTACATAATTAATCCATTTTAATTGCGGCAATTATTACGTTATGAATAATGGTATAACAAACTGTTTACGGGGTTGTTTAATATGAAAATAATTCTAACAGCCTTCGAAAACAAAGTGTAGAAAGCTTATGAACCGTAGACCAAAATGTATAATACGTTCTTTCATAATTGGTATAGAATAAAAAATGAAAAAACTTATAAGATGTTGACTAATCGTAGTTTCTGCACGTGGCTGTAAATAATACCAAGTAAAAGAAAAAAGAAAAATTAATGTCATTGGAAAGCAGACAGTTAATATTTCTTAGGCCTCAAATTATATCTATATTTAGTATTATTATTAAATAATGATTCGTTAAATAAGATTATTTAATGTATAAAAATATCATATGAACTAATTTCCTTTGACCGTCATTCAAACTTTTGTTTTTTTTCATAAAACAGACCCGAATATCAAACTTCAAATAATTTTATAAAGTTACTAAGACTATAAATTTTTAATTTAGACAGATAGAAAAAATTTTAATAGCTTGTCGGATTTATTACAGGTCTTAGATCTTCTATCGATTTGTAAACTCTACAAATGCCTGGTTAATACGTGGCTTTTTTTTTAACGTATTAGTCAATATTATTCTAAGTTTAATAGAAATTTCTTGATAAAATTTTAAATAAAACAATATAATTTTTTTTTATTTTTTAAAAACATTTTCTAACATTAATTAAAGTGGTATGAGTGTAATTTTCGTAAACTAAATACAAGTTTATGTTTTTATTGTTTTGAAGGTTAGTAAATGAAATTTTTATAAAAATTTTAATTTTTCATAAAAGAATTTGTTGAAATTTGTGTAGTTCCGAAGAAAATCTGATCGTAAGTAAATGATATAAAAATGATCAAGCTAAAATATGCTTAATGATGCTAAATCTTTTCATTTGTTGTAATATAAACCTGTTTACATAGCATTTCGAAACACGAAAAGAATTCTACGTAAAAAATCATTATATAACATATAACCTTGACAAATTGTAAGATAAATTATTACAAACAATAGTCAAAGTAGATTTTAATTTCGATTCGAAAAGTCTAGATCTTTGTCGTTCCTAAAATAAAAAAGTGATTTTTTTCTAGCTCAGAATGCGCTTTATAAGTCTAAGTTTTGTATAACTGAATACGATGTATGTTCATAACGTCAATTAATAACCGAAGCGGAATTAGTAAAGTCGACAAATCCACAATTGACGTCAGGAAGTCTCAACCAATGAGCTTTGGAATAAAGGGAGCATTTTGATTTACGCGCTTCCTCCGAGACGTACTAGAAACAACAGTTTCATATCATATTACAGAAAGTGTCTTATTTGTTGGCGGCCGACCAGAGTGATGTGAGAGGCGTGGTATAATTGTTATCACACTGTCGACCTCATAGACAACGGATGGCTAGTCCAACCGAGACGTAAGGCGCGCATACTCCTCGCTGGAGGCCATGTTGGCTAGTCCCACCACTTCGGGTTCTTCTAGTACCCCTTTTTCAGTTAAAGACATTCTCAACCTGTCAGATCAAGGAGGATTCGATCCCCAGGCCTTTCTCCTACAGGCTCAAAACCTGGAGAAAGTGCTTTTTGATGAAACGGACGGATTAGGTTTACTTACCTCTACGTCACCTACTACACCATTTAGGGACTTCGTTTCTCAGGGCTATTCCACCACTCTTCAGTGTGGACAGCTTCCACCTCCTCAACCTCCGACTGCACCACCTTTGACATCACCTCACGTCCAGAGTTTATCCCATTTGTGTCCACCTTTTCCTGGTAATGGTGCTTCGAGAGACAACCAATATTACGGAGGTACCGTCGAACCTGCTCCTGCTTACTCACTTCCAAACTCGTCCATCCAACATCAAGCAGAGACAGCAGTCAATGAGAAAAGTAAGTAAAGCACAATCCACTTAGTCGAGAGCTCTCAAAACCAGAAAGAGGGTCGCGAGTAGATCCGAAAAAAGAAATCACTCGTATAATCTCAGCACGAGTCTACAATTAAGAGGCGAAAGGTTAAAGCCGAGTGGGCCTTAAATGTTGACGTAATGAGTTTTTGTTAAAAGGTAAACGATGATGATCTTGTCTGAGTAGTTCTACTTAAAGTGATGAAAATGTACTTTTAATTTAATTGATATTTTTTAATATATTGTTGAAATTATTATCTGCTCTTTCGACGTTTCTTTTATTTAATTTATTTCTAACATTCATTAATTTTATATTCTCCTATAGGCCTAATTTAAAATACATACACATTTAATTTACATAATACAAATTTGTAAGTTGACTAGTCGTTTAATAGTTTAGTTTTTTTAGAAACAAAAAAATATATATATATTTTGAAATTGAAACCAAGAGTAACACTTTTTTCTTACTTTTTCGACACTTTCATTTTTTATGGGGCCTTTAATTTTAAACAAACTGAAACAAAATCGTTAAAATTAATAAATTATCCGCTTAAGTTACGATTTCTTCACACATTTACAAACCTTATCTTAAGAATTTTAATTTCAGATAAAAGTTTTTTAGATGAAAAATGATAGGCTATTCATAGATTAGAGTTTATACTACTAAAGCGTGACCATTCTAAGAGTTTATTTCATTCTGTCCTCGATTTACTGATCCATATGAAAACTAATATAAAAATTTAATTTTAAATAATTTAAATTACTTAAAAAAATTCAATTGTGAGTAGGCAGTAGTCTATATTTTTAAAAGAAGAATGATATAAAGAATAGTACAAGGGAGCTTTTGAAAAAAATAATAAAAAAATAAGTCTGTAGTATTTTATGCTTTGTATTAGACGGAATGAAACGGTGCAGAAACAAACAGAAATCCACTTGAAAGGAACTTGTATATTTTGTTAGGTTTTACAAAGAAGAAACTGTTCGAAATTCATAGTTTACGATCCGCAGGGACTCATGCTCTGTAGTACACACAAGGGTTCTGTCTTTTATCCCCTCCGACTGTTTACTTCAATTAAAATGTAACTATAGATGTCTTCATCTATTTCGAATAATTGTGAAGTGAAATACTTAAGAAGTAACGTGTGCCAGCTCTTATAGTTTTCTCTACTTAAAATTATTGCCATTTGTAATTAGTAAAACTTACAGTTATGTTTTTTAATGTAGGTTTTTGTATTTTTGAATTGAATTATTCATTAAATGTCTTCAAATAAGTGTAAAATATAATTTTTTACATTGAAATTATCATGTATTAGATCTAATAATGGAAAAAAATAAGTAAATTGTCTCTTTTATAATAAGTTTTGCTTAATTATTTGCTAAATATTATTATATAGTTCTGTATCAGTTAAATTGTGTCTATATTAAACTCATTAAACATAAAATAACATTGGCCTATAACTGTGTGAGATCTAGATTTTTATACTTTAATAGACATAAATTTTTGGAACAAATTTTTAAAAAAATGCTTTGAATAAAACTCCAAAATTATCAGAATCCCCAATATTTTTGATCTAAAAAATATTATTACAATAAGCTGTTTTATGATGATACCAAAAAATAAAAAAAGGGTTATAATAAGAATCCAAATTAGATGTAAAAAAAGCAAAATATTGAAAAATACAGTAGGACGGATGTACCCTTTATAAGACGCATCCACTCGTGGTTCAAGTGGCAGTCAGCGATTTTATTGACGGTTTAGTTGGCCAAGACATGACAGGATCATGTGTCACCTTATTATATGATCTGTGGGACAAAGTGATTCACTCTGCTTTAACTGCGCTTTCTTAATAGAAAGATTGGAACTATATAAGTAATTTTGTGCTATCAGAACTATGTAATGAAGGATCGACTAGAGTATTTTTTTTAATAATTAATGCTTTTCCATCCTTTAATAATAACCATAATAGCTTTAATTTAGAATATTTCCTTGGAAAAATTAGATCTAATACATATTTCATGTCTGTTATGTTTAAATTAGGCTAAACACACGCCTAAATTTTAAGATTGACTCTTGTGATATATTTAAAAATGCTTGTAAAGCTTTAAAAAATTAATTTTAGCATTTTATGTTATATTTATTATTTAAATTTCTATAAAAATTACCGTCATAACCGTCTACGAGGTTAAATTAAAACGATCAATTTAATAAAGATCAATAAAATTTATTGTTGAATCAGGCTATAAAAATTTCAGCTTTTTTTTTTATTATGAAAGGGAATTTGATTGAAGTTTATATGTAATATTTAACTTCTTTTAAACTCACAGATTAATATAGAAGCTATCAAATGAGTGTTATGACATCGGATTTTCTATTTGTAGTATGCATAAATACTCTTTCAGCTCATTAACTCATTAACATGAATACTGCTTTGTAAAAAATACCATAAAGCTTAAACTAATAACTCATTCAATTGCACATTATTTTCGCGTAATTTAATTTTAAATATATAATTTGAAGGAGTCAAAATAGTAATCTATATTAATGCTTTTTTATATATAAATGACAATTTTGGAATAAAGAATATTTCGCCTAAATTGTACTTAATAAAGCAATTCAAATGTTAATATAATCCGTGTTAAATTACTGTGTAGTAAAATATTTATTTATTTTAACTTTTTAACGGAAATGAAAAGTTATAAAATAAATTCATAGAGACGTTTATGTATCGGTAAACGTTTTTCCAAGCTTGAAAGTAAGGTAATCTTTGTTTCTTTATCCCCATAAAGAAGTTATGACCGAACTTGAATGCTGTAAAAATAAACTAAAGTGAACATTTCAAGCAATCTTGATGTTTATTAAACTACATTTAAAGGTAATTTCATAAAATGATTGACGTTGCTAAATGGGTTTTTTTCCTTTGTTGAAAAAAAAACTAAGTTGGTTTTTCTTTCTGCTTGCTATTAACACTCTATTCAATGTTGTTCATTATACTTAATAAAAATAGATCATACAGGAATACTTTTAAACATTTCTCGCTATAACATTACAAAAATTATAATTGGCCTATAGAATTTAATAGTTAAATATATTTTTATTAAGATATAAATTTATGTATATAAATGCATTATAAATATGCTTTTTGTAGGTCTCATAATAAAAAAATACATTAAAATTTTTAAAATATGTATAAATTTTATAAGCTTATTTATATATTCTTTATCAAGTACATATTTTCTCTGATAGATAAATTTTTATATTTTTTACAAGAATATTTAAAAATAAATCAGTTTTTTTTTTTTTTTAATTTTGGCATTTTTCAGAAATGCCTAACAATATTCGAATTTTAATTTTTATTTCCTGTAAAATTCGTAATTCAACTCAATATATTTATTTGTTACAAAATTTTCTGTATTAAATCTATAAATTCTTGATCTTATATAAAATATAATTATATATAATCGAAAAAAATTAAGATTTATGTCCATTACTTAGAAAATATGTTAATATTAAGAGTATAAGTGGAAGAAGAATAAATACTGTATTGTATACTTAAATATTATACAGTTATTATTAAATACGAACTACTATTTAATCTCTGCAGCTTAAATATCTTAATAAAATAAATCCTATCCTAAATATCCTAAAATAAATCCTATGAGGTAAATATCTTAATAAAATAAATTATATGTATATACCTCATAGGATATTCAGGAAGAGAACTTTGAGTTTCATGTAAAATTATAATTTATAGCTTTAAAATATAAGTTATACTAAAATGTATTCGAAATTTAGGTCTTTTTAAAATCAATTAGTTTTATAAATTATATAATTACTTTCAATTTTATTTGCAAATAATTTTTTGATCCTTTTGGAAAGAGGGAATGGTTTTATAACATGTTTAAGCTAATTCTAAATAGGCTATATTCTTATAAAAGATTTTTAATTTTGTAGAAAGTGAATTAAATCTATTGCTTATATATCTAAATATTTCTTAAATAATTTTGCAAATAAGCCTATGTTTTACTCTAAAAATTAATTTAATTGTAAAATACAATTAGCTTTTTATTTAGATCTAACATAAATTTATATATGGATACAACTCTGTTTATATTCATAAAAACTTAATCTTAAGCTCATTTATTTTTGCTATTTTAATCGGATATTTTGCTAATATTTTACATTAAATTTATTTTTTATTGTAAAAAAATAATACGATTTAAATTAGACTTTCTTACGCCGAAAAAATATGCTTTCGGTTTACGAATATAAAATAACAAATACATAAACTTTATTTAAAAACTTGAAAAATAAATAAATGTTTTAGTTTCCTTATTCTAATTAAATCTGAAAATAGAATAATATTAAAAAATTGAATCATTAAAATAAGTTTAATCTAATAACAATAACTTTATGATCTTAAAAATTAAAGTTGTGTATTGAAATAGGCCTTTAGACTATTTATAAAAATAAATGAGCCAAAAAATTGTATTTGATTTAAAAAAAATAAATAAAAATAATCAATAATAGTGACTATTTTCATTTATTTTTATGAATAGCATAATTCTTCATTCGTGTCTAAAATATAATATGAGTCTTTTCACTATAATTATAAGTCATTATTAAGATAATTTAGGTTTGTAGGAATAGAATCAATTTTGATATAAAAACACGATTTTATACGTAAATTACGAAAAATTGATAATTATAACGAATAAGCTAACAATGTATTACATATAATATTTATTATTAATAGTCCAAGGAAAGATTTGTAAATAGTACTTGTTATAAAATATCAGTGAAATTATTTAAATGTTAAAATTAAACATGTTCTTATAACAAATAATAATTAAATTATAATACGAAGCCCTCCAAAAAAAAAAGGGATATACATTTTATCCTATAGTATTAGAACCCACATTTCTGGATAACAAACAAAATATTTTATAAATTCGTTCATAGGATTGAAATATTCGATCTAATATCAA